ATATAAACCCTGTACTAAATCGGTTTGGATTTATAAGAGGAATTCTCTATTGCTGGGCTCCTCATTCTCTCCGAACATGTTCTTTAATTAGCTTCCATTTGTTACAACAATTCTCGCATCCTGGGCTGTTGGTCTTCTCCGTATAGATCTCTTAGCAAGTTGGTTTCGACCTATCATTTCTGGCTCCTCACTAGGCTGGTCTTCATCCATTAGACAATTCATTCTCGCATGGGCTCATGAATTTGTAGTGAATCACTTACTTTTCTGTCTTTGGTGTGTTGAGGGAATTCTTCAATGTCGGGTTCCTCCTTGTCTCCACAAATATTTCACATTCATTTGCTCACATTGGCTCCTGGCTTCTACATATACACCCCCTTACTCAGCTGGCTTCAATTTCTCAGGAGAATGTTGGAATCCTGCGTTCCTGATTCTCTGCATAAAATCCTTTTGGTAAAGCGGTTTGGATTTGTGGAAAGAAAGTCTGTGACCCTGCGCTCCTGATTTCTCTAAGATAGATGTGCTTCTTCGAGTCTATTTGGACATTCTCAGATCCGGGGCTCTTGACTTTAATATACCTCTGCAGGCAGCAGCTTGCTTTCAAGAACTTGAGAGCCGCAGGCCGGGACGAAAGCTCAATAATGGAGAGGGGTGGTGACACGGGATGTGAAGAAACGGACGATACACAACCAAAGAGCACACAGCCCAGCCCTCGCTGCCCATGACAAGAACTGCAACCCTCCTACCAAAACTTTCTAAAAAAAAAAACCTCCAAGAGCCCTCCAAGACCCCCCAAAACCCCCCCAAAATCCCCCCAAAATCCCCCCAAGATCACCCCAAGATCCCCCAAGATCACCCCAAGAATCTGGCCCAAAAAGGCCCTCCGAGCCAACGCGGGAAAATCCAGCCACTGGTCCAGGGTAGCTCAAAAAGTAGAACCCTAGGCTCACATTGTGAGGTATTAAACGAAGCTCCCTTCCGGAGAGCTTTCGTGGCGTTTCCTTGGAAAAAGTTTTTGGCCAAGGGAAGCCAACCTTCATGTAAGACAAATAAGAAACATATTCCTCTTTCAAGACAAAAAGAATGTGTGTTTCGTGTCATGCGGTTTAGCTGTCGTTGAGGGAAGCCAAGCAGACCCAAGACCAGACAAAAAAAAACAACACATGTTGAGGAGAAGTGATGGTTCACGAGAGAAGTTGGGTTTTTCCAGGAAGGGTCGGTTTTGCTTGGTCAGAACTATCTGTTTGTTTCCTAGAGGCAAAACCTGGTTTCAGTGCTATTTCCTCAATCAACATTTCATGGGAAACCTTTTTTCTCGGGGAAAATGGTATTTCGAGAGTTAAAACCATATTTTACGCAGGGAAAGATTGGCTTTTATTGATTTCTGGGAAAAAATGAAACCATCTTTCACCAGGAAAAGCAAGATGTTTTCGACCAAGCAAAATCGAATTTTCCGGTGCAGGCCGGTACTGCCTACACTGCGGGCTTTAAAGGGCCTCAAACATCTCACACGTACGTACACTACAGCTTTTAGCTCTTGACAGCGAGGGGTGCAGCTGCGGGATGACTCATCCCAGGGCCAGGTGAGAGGGCATCAGGCCCAGAGGGCAGCCGCCGCAGGACTGCCCGGGCATTTTCGCGTTGGAGCGCGATTGCCAGGCTTTGGAGGAGACGGTCAGTCTCAGTGCCAGGAGTGTCCCCTGTCTTGGCGGCTATGAGCCCCCCAAGGGCGCGCTGCGGTGCCGCTGCAAGGAAAAGCCATATAAACCAACTTTTCTCTCCTGCACGGTCAACGCTTCTGAAAGTTTGTTTTTTGTTGTCGTTTGGTCTTTGGTCTACTTGTCATACACTATGATTAACGCGTACTAGCCAGGTTCTTGGATAATGATCCCCAAAGAGAACCGGTCAATCCACCTGTCTGCAGATTTTCAGATATCGAAAATTGAGGGCCATTTTGAGAGCAGATCCGAATGTATGGAAGCATCAGCTTTATCTGTTTTATCTGTATGTTCAGTACTGTTGAAGGCTTTCATGAAAAAACATGACAGAGGGTAGATCATGAGGGGGGGCTACCAAATTCTATATCTACATATTTTCCATATATACCTATGCTATGCATGCGTGTCCTGTTCTTGACCGTCAAGATTGACAGCACTGCAGTACGCCACACGAAATAATTCGAATTCCATCATGTTGCGGTGACTGGGTGCCCGGGCCATTAGCGGGGTGCGTCCCCGTCGACTTGGGAGATTTGCTGATGCCCCGCAGTCCAAAAGCTTCCTGCCAAACAGAAGGCTTGGTCTTGGGCCAATCCGTATATCTGGGAAGTTCTGAAGTGATAAGTTGAAGCTAGAATATCTTGATACAGGAACGGAGTTTATCGGAAAAGTCCCCTAGCTTGGGATGCACATGTGGTCCCCGAAGTATTTGAGGCATCTGCAAGACACAGTCGACTGGGGCTTCACAATACCTGATATGAAAATTCAGCCATAATAGCGCCCGTTGCCTCACAGCTGCCACGTGTCCGGCCTGGCTGCGAAGGACACATAGGAAATTTGAAGCTGATGCTACGAGTACGTAGGTCTAGGTAATCTCGCCAGAATGCTTTGTGATTCACGTACATTCTCTCCAGCGATGTCTCGCTCAGGCTCTATGGACCTCTCCCTTCAAGCAAGTTGGACCTCTGAACAACTGCTGAGACCAGTTATCGCAACACTCTTCTGGCTAGCGGAGGTGCTCAAGTGGCCTTTGCCGCCAACAGCAGTGGCGTCCAGCCCGTACTTGTGGATGCATCGACGGCTTTCAGAGCGCCTGCGTTCACCCTGCTTGCCTGTTTGGAAGATTGCAGGTTTGGCACCTGCTTCGCAGCATGCATAACGCAAAACCCTCTAGATCTGACAAGCTCGGACACTTCTTTCGGCTTCTTCAAGGAGAACAGGACCCCTAAGAACTCTGCCAGGGGGCCTTGCGGCTTCCAGAGATCGATCAGCAGCTCACAACCTCAGTACAGGCAGCAAATCGTGGGAGCACAGGTTGCGCATACCGATTCCGAACCATTTCCGCTCAAGTTCCCCTGACAATTTGGGCCCGCGCACTCTCCGTGCCCAGCGCGAGCTGCTAGAGTCAGGGGGGTGAAACCTCCGCCTAAGTGGCATTTGGAGAATGACGTTTGCGTGCAGCCTTTCTGGCTGCCGAGCCAGACAGCCGATGAAAACTACGCGAACAGGGATCCTCGCGTGTAGTGCCCTTGCATGCCCTTGCCCAAAATGCATGCCAAGCAGAAAAAAGAATCCTCAACCTTTCGAAGCAAAACCCCCATGTCCCCATGTCATGTAGGCAGGTCGCGAAGCTCTGCCGCTGGATTAGCGCGGGCAGCCACAAGGATCTGGACACATTCGTAAAAGCCCTGCAAGGGCGAATGAGTGTGAGTCAGTTCGCGACGCCTTGCTTGGACTGTGACAGCTCAAGGATGAGGAAAAGCAACTAGCTACATTTGTATACGTATTTAGGCCACATCACGCGAAAGCTTTGCTGAGGGTACGCAGGTGCAGGCCTGCTGGGCAGCGAGGTGCACTGGACGGCAGCCGCCATCCTCATCGGCCACTGCCTGCTCCTTGCAGGTCGGGGAAAGGGTCATTCAGCCACATGGCAGCTTCCACCTCAGACCCCAGCTCGAAAACCTTCAAACTTTTCAAGCAAGGCACCGGATCTGCGCGTGCGTCGAGCAAAAGGCGAACCACATCCAAGTGCTGGAGCTGCACCTCTTCCCCCAGCCAAATGCCATGTTCACAGGTTCGCCCATTGCAGTTCCGAGTGCCAAGCCCCCATCATGAAGCAGTAATTACAGCTCAGCTGCATCTAAGGCACTGCTGCGTGCAGGGGCACTGCCCCAGCCCGTGTCGCGGAGCCTACCAAGTTCGTGATACCAAGCAGCAAGATGAACACTCCTGCTATGTTACTCCCCATTCCCCTGCACCTAAAGAAGCCCCGCGTTCCAGGAGAAGCTGCACGACCTGCGATCTCCAAGCTACGTGACACGGATCGAAACTCCAAGTGGGACCCCATCTAAAAACCGCGATCATGATGGCAGAATCTGAACGATATGGGAGAATCTGAACAATGTTCAACAATTCAGCGTAGGCATACTCTGCGGCAAAAAATGCTGCGCCTAGCAGACTACAGCAAGCATCAAAAGTCACCACCTCCACACGCCCCTGCTGTGAGGCAAGGTGCAGTGCTGTGGCCTCAGTTGAAATGGCTGGAAACAAGAAGAAAATGGGAGCCTTTGCTTCAAAAGCGCAAGAAGAGGTGCAGGTTGGCGAAGGTTGTCTTGCCAGCGCTCCCTCTACCTTTAATCGTCCGACCTGGTCAGATGTGCAGCAAGCATCCTCATTTCCCATGTCGTAGCTTCTGCCAGTCTGGCCTGACTTGCATCAGAGCCTTTCTGCAACATGAACTAAACAAAATGGACGGCTTAAGCCTTAATCGCCAATGTAAAGAGCTCTAGCTGCCTAACTTCTGCGTCATGCCTAGGCTCCTCACGCCCTGATCATTCGGAGCGCCAGCCTCTGCTCCGTGTGATAGCCTCAAGTTTATCGCAGGACTGTAGGATCTAGAAGAAGGAATTGTTTCCCCAGCTCGCAAAAGAAGAGTGCAAACACAACACCATCTATCCTCTCTGGAGTGTCAACAAGGTCAGCTAGCATTTTGGGCAGGGAGTATGGTCTTGGGACATTCTCAAGCAAAAGTCACGTTGATGCCCTTTGGCTGGCAACCGCTATGTCTTACATGTAGCTTGTCCAAGTCAACTGTGCTTGTTAGTACGGCTTCCTGCTTGATTTCTCGGAGAGCAGAATCCTTGGAACAAAAGCTGCTTGTTGCATAGACTGACGTACTGTATGGGGCCCTGTAGAGCCATGTTGAGATGCTTAGGCACCAGCAGAAGCTCGACGGTGCGTGCATGTCCTCGTCGGGAAGCTTCACGGAGCGGTTCCTTGAGCGAAGCCATGCCAGGGCTGGCCCTTGCAAATCCAGCGGACACGGCAACATCCCGAAAGAGATGAGCAAAACATCAATCAATTACCTGTATTCTCGGACAACCATCGGACAACTGTCTCACAATTGGTGCAAATGTGCTGCACTGGGCTGCCGGGCCGTTGTCGGCACATTGGGGGAGGCCCTGGCACTTAGCAGCAGCGCCACTACGCTGTCCCTGCCATGCCTGACGACCGGCGACTGCAAGACTTACGACTAACACTTTGGATGACATACAGCACACCACACCCTGCTAAGTGTGAAGCTCCGAGACCTTGATTTTTCAGCGACTCCGTTTAGCCGGACCCCCTCTTCTTCTAGATTCATGAAAGCCACCCCTGAGCTGCCCGTGGCCTGGGCCTTGCCAGTCTTTACCGAGAACTTGGCATCCGGCCCAGGTGGACAAAGGCATGCACTGACAAAATTGCAAGGCTTCCAATTACGAGATGCAGGTTGTGATGGGATCAGACTTCGCCAGCCAGATTGAGGAGGGAGTGCAGGTGAAATCTGCGACACCGGAGGCAACTCTTGCTAGGGTACGTCGATTTTCAGCACCAAGCGTTGAACGACCGAGCCATCACAGTGGTATTGGATCTCCGGAGACTTGTGGACCAAGCCTTTTGGACGAGTAGGGAACTTTTTGCCCTTCATGAAGAAAACATCTCCCACACTGACGGAGCGACACTTTGACTCGTCCTTGATAATCTTCTCATTCCCGCCACCATTCTCAAGCTGCCAGAGATCAATGGCATGGTCTGGCGCGTACATAGTGGCAGCTGAGTTATATGAAACGATGGCCCTCCCAGAGTAATTGTCTCTGTGCCATCTCGTGCAGCAGTTTTCCCCCACTCTCTCAAGCTTGACATGAAGACTGTCACTCCAGGGGCAAAGGCGGTGCACTACCGCACCAACTTCACAAACGTCAGCCTGGATTGCTGCGCTGATATCACTGGGCAACATAACCTGATGGAGCAGTTCCTGGGCTGCTGCTCTGAGGCTGGAGCTCTGAGGACTTCTGCAGGCACGAACAAGGATCCTTTGCCAGTCCATTCGATCCACAGCCGACTGGCAGTCTTTCCAGAACGGCTTCCTTGCCAGGAGAAGGCCCTGATGTTGACGTCCTAGCTGAAGCCAATCGTCCAAAGTCTGGGCATGCAAAAGCGTGGAATGCTGCCCTGGCGGGTGAACCTGTATGCTTGTCCTCCTCGGCGGTGAGGCCCGCATCACTGGGGCCACATGTGCGCACAAGGATACCGTCTGACATGCAAACACAAAAGCCAGGCAGTAAAACGCTGCCCGACGCAGCACATGTTGCGCGTGCATCCCCGCAAGACCAGATTGCTCGAGCCAAAAGCTGTATGGCACCCCAGTCAAGACCTACCAGCCCTTGCCACTACTCTCATTGGGTGGTGAGGGTCGTATCCGGATTATCCTGTCGTTCCGGCAAACTTGAGCACTTCCAAGCTTTTGCTACCCAGTTTCAAACTTCTGGTGTTTTTGCTTGATCGATTAATTCAAGACTCGTAGTTCTGGATGTCGCATCTAGCCCGTCTTTGAAAACGGCTGCTTAAGCTGTAATCTTGGCAAAAAAGACGCCGAGGCCCCGCACTGCGCAGCAGCCAGCAGAGGTGGCCATGCACCCGCAGCGCCCTGTGGGCCAGCACGGGCTGCCAGCAGCTCCTGGACAGGAGTCTCGCAGAGCTTTAGAACACTTTGGTTCACTTGGGCTAAGAACCGTTGTCAAAATTTTGACATGCTTCAGACACCTCATTTGAGGGGGAACGACAGGCAGCACGAGGCGAATGGGCAAGCAGAGAGGGTCGTTGATGGGGTGAGCAAGTGAGGTGGCAAGCTGAGTGCACGGTCGAAACTGAACAGGCGAACAAGTGAAGAGAGTGAGGCAGTGGAGTGGAGTGGGCGAGTTGAAGGAAGGACGCAATGGGCAGTGGTCGAGCAAAGGGTTGGGATTGTGCACCCCTGCAACTTGTCATAGATTATTCAATCTAGACCTGGCCCCTTCACAAGGCTTCTCTTCCTGTCTTGGCCGAGACTCCCATGGTCAGCAAAGCAAAGAAAGCAGTTCTAGAATCTGGTGTCGAAGGTCTTTGCTTACACAGTCTTGCAGCTTGGACCATTTCAGCCGAAAGAACAATAAATTCCCTTCCCAAAAGGCCTGTACAGAATCGAAGTGGCCCGCACGTGCTGCAAGCGCCATTGGACTGCTTGCACTTTTCGTAGTCAAGGCCTTGGTGGATGCAGATTAGGATTGGTCACCTTCAAAGTAATGAAGCTACAAAGCTGCTATCAGCGTGAAGGCCTGCCTCCACAATGGCACGGCTCTGTAGCAGGAGCTTTACCTCGGGTTGAAGAAGACAGCCTGGTTTTGAAAAAACACCCCGAAAAAGCTACCTGACGACACTCCCCACCTGGACATCCTCAGGTCCACACCAGCTCGGTGCGGCCCGCTTCTGCCGCCTGATCTGCAAGGAAACTCAAACGAAAAGCAGGTCTAAACCTATGCATGGAACGCCATGAAAATGCAGGGCAACTCGGTAGCACATGGTGTCACTTTGGCTATCTGCGGCAAGCTATCTTAGCCCAGGCGCCCCCAAAGCTGGAGATCTTCATGCCAGCTAAGCCCCAGACAGCATGGAGTGGGACGCGTCCGCTGGTTGCTGCCCTGGTTTTGAGCAGGGCTCCGGAAGCTGTCTTTGCACATTTCATGTCCCATGGACAGGGAGCGGCCAAGAGTGCAAGAACTGCACATATCACGGCGGCAAGCTGCTGAAGGGTAGCATGTATGTGTTACCTTTGGGTCCCAAGCTTGCTGAATTTCTCTTCATATCAGGCAGTATCCCTGATTGGGTGCCCACTCTGCAAAGGGCAGGGTTCCAAGAGGCATGACTCGGAATGACAAAAATTGTTCCCTGCTCGCGCATCTTGTGGAAAACCTTACTGCACATTGGCCTGTTGGGATCAGCACGGGCTTCCAGCAGCGCAGCGACAACCTCCCGGTGGCCAGGGCGACAGGCCTGGCTTCCGCACAGACGTTGGACATTTGCACTCTTTGCACGTCACAGCTCGTAGCTGATCATGAGAGGAGCGCTAGCTCTCTTGCCTCAGCAAATCCTAGCAGACCGGGTTCTTTGCATTTGTCGCTCCTAGTATCTCCTAGTTCTACAGGAGCCACCGGAATGTTTGCACCGCTAGGGGAAGCGCAGACACGCAACTGCACAAGATTCGTAAACTTACAGGACTCATGCCTATGCCTGCTCGCGACTGCTACAAAAATTTTGTGTTCCCAGGTGCCCGGCCAGCAGCAAAGCTGTGGCGCCATCGTCCTTATGCAGCTGGTGCGGCTGATGCATGCTGTTGGCTTGTAACGCATCCCTTCCCGCCGTGCGGGGTTCTGTTAAGTCAGGACACCATGGGTACAAACAACTGTGGCTCTGCTATAGCTGTCACGGCTATAAACGTGCTTCAGGGACCTGGGCAGCATTCGCCCCTGCGCGTGCTTCAAGAAGGAGCCGAATCGCAGCCTTCACAGGTGGGCAGCTGTCGTGTCCGGAGCTGGCTGGGACATGCAACACAAAATCCTTTTCAGACAGAAGCTTCCAAATGTCAGTGTCAACAACAACAGTTGCTGGGCATTAAGGACAGCACATTGCAAAAATGGAAGGTTGTCTTACCACAAGATAGTGCCTAATCTTGCTGGACCTACCAGTACATACAATGCAGGAATGCAACTGCCCACTAGATGTATTAGAAAACATGGGTCACCACCAAGAATGCCATGTCAGAAGGGCACAAGCAAGTTTAGCTCTACCTGTCGAGCACAATCCTCATAAGATTGAAGCTATTGGTGTTTTCGGTGGGCTGTAATTTACATTTGCCGTCTTGGGGCGGACCTCTTTGGCAATAAAAGGGGAACCCTCAGCAATCACCCCTGCCCATGTTGAGTTCTTCGTTTCCTCCATCACACTGCGGCGCACCTGACGGCCCGTAGCGGCAGCGGCTCTGAGTCCGGCATCCAGAGAGGCCTGGCAGGTCATTGGGCTCACCAAAGCACATCTCTGGTGTCTGACACTTGGACCTGCTCAGGCAAAGGTACGCTGCCCGCTGCAGGGAGCAGCAGGGGCAACAGCAGCAGAGAAAGGGTGTTGAGCTGGCCCAAGGGCCTGGGCAAAGCAAATTGCTGAAACTGACGCTGTCCCAAGCAATTCCTTGCTGCTGTGTAAGCACCACGCAAGCCCCTTAAAGCCACTGCCGCAGCTGAGCGATGGCCGTGAAGGATTGCTAAATCCTAGGCACGACATTTCCGGGCTCATGGAAGCTGTCAGGATGACCTGACGTTAGGATGCCACTAGTAAGTATATTCTTCAATGTCCTACCTGCCTTCCGTAGGCAGCCTCAGTCACTTAGCCAGAGCTTCTAATGAGACCCATGCAGTCAGCTACCATCCCCGAACAAACGAGGCACTGGAAAACGCAGATCTGGCTCCCTGAACGGGAAAGAGTGGGAACCCGGCGGCTGGTAAGAAGCCCTGCTGATCGCGGGACATCTGTCCTGGCGGAATGCTGAACAAACACACGATGTTTGAGCAGCATTGAAAATGTGTCGGACAGTCACATTACTTTACTGGCAGCCACATTCTCATGGCCAAAGGTCTCTTGGAACTGCCCTAAAATGCAAAAGCGCAAGATGTGTTCAGGGCTGATTGACAACAGCACAAAACAAAGCAACAAGACTTGTACCCCGCGAGATGCCTGCGCCGTTTGTCAGTGTGATGATTGCGGTTGCTGCCACAGCATCTCCACTCAGGCAGGCCTTGAACAGCGGTCGGCCGGGCTTGCAACACTTAGAATTTGCTCAACTGCCAAAGATCTGTTAGAACGTGGCGAGACTCTTGCTTGGTCACGGTGCGGATTTGAACTTTGTCAGTGGATGTATGGCCCTCTCGGCATTGATGAGGGCGACTCAGCAGCGGCATAATATTGACAGGACATCGGTAATTTTTCAAAGGGTGTCAACTTGGTTGCAGAGACTGTGAAGTATCTTCGACAATCCCGTCGGTGGAGGGGCGGGGATGATTATGTTTCTCTTGGTGACGACATTGAGAGCACCAAACATAAGCTTCGTGAAGGTTGGCGTCAAAACCAATGGCAGGAGTGAAACTCATCGGGCCACTTGGAAATACAGTCAGCGTTTCACTAGCGATGATGACGGCAGTGGGAGCTTTCGAGGATCACTCTCAAATACAACAGAAGGGTGCTGGAACACATGGCTAGCAGTCTTCTCATTCGACCTACACTGATCACAAGCAACTGGCGTCGGAGATGACTGGATGGAGGTTGACATATGTTTCAATCTATTTGCACTTGCCGTACATCGGTGTGCGTTAATGACACAAACCTGGGGTAACCCAGGATGGGGCTAGGGTTTGATTACAGCAATTCTCGGTTTGCCGGGCACCCCTTGCCTGCCGCATGAATGGATGCTAGGCATCGATTAGCATAGATTGCTTCGCGCAAAGACAGGACACGAATGCAGCAGACGTAGGGCAGAGACTCGGCTCCAGCCCTTCTTGTGAAACACCCAAATGATGAACCTGCTCTGATGCAGATGGCCTTATGCAGCAGGCTGCCCCCTGTGTCACTGCTGTCGACAGTTGCCAGCTCGAAGTTCGCCATGGTCTCCTCCAGCTTTTGCCTGTACAATGCCCTTCGAAGCTGGACCCGCGCGCGTTCAACACGAACGGCAAAACTGCTCCACAGCGGCCTCTGCTCGCTCGGATCCAACTGCTTCAGCCTCTGCTGGCTCACGGGACTGTCACTGTCACAGTGCACTTTCTCTGAAGCAAAAGGATACCGCCCTGCACACTGAGAAGCTCAACAATCTCCCTGGGGGTGAGCTGGTCGGCAACCAGTGACCTGGCACATGAGGATTGCAAACCCTGTGCTTCATCCTCCACCTCAAACCCTAAAGAAACTGTTCACAGATTGCTCCACAGCGGGGCCTAGCCTCACAGCACTCCAGTGTGCCACTGCGTTGGGGCGATGCACCTCCCGCACTACAAACACATTCAGCGCTTCCTCTCATCTGAGATCGGTCCTAGAAACTGAGTTCATCCAGGCTTCAGCCACCCAATTCGATGCCTCCTGCTTCTCACACGCTTCCTTCTGCAAAGTCTCCTGCTTGAGACCAGAAGACCCGTCCTATCCATGCCAGTCTAATCAGGGCTTAGGTGTTTGGCTTTTAGTTGCGAGCACCTCGTTTGCAGTTGCGCGCTCCGCCCCCGGTGCCTTGCTGGAAGGCACCTGCAGCAAAAACTTGTTACAAATACCTGCCATCGCTTGGTGTGCAGAATACATCATGAGGCAGGAATGTTTGCTCAGAATGTCACCGCTCAGCACAGCAGTCTCTCGCCGCCAAGTAGTGGTCCGGGTATGCTTGGAGACACGTCTTTTCTTCTTAGTATTCTTCCAGTCTGACTTTCTCCCTCTCTCTCTCCCTCTCCCACTCACGCCTCAAGATGGCACTCCAGCACCCCTCAAAGCACGCACATGACAATGACAAAAATGCCTCTGCCTCTGCAGCTTCCTTG